GAAAAGAGAAAAAACTAGTCAACCTTCTTGACACCCTTCTGCTCCTCTTGTGCGGTATCGCCCCTCTTTTTGATGACTTCAACAAAGCCTTTGGGGAACCATCCTTCCCTTCCATCTCTTGTTCGCCCTCTCCACCACTCGGTGTCTGGGCTACCGGTAACCGGGTCTGCCATCATCAAGACGGCGACCAACTCTCCCTTTTTGAGGCTCAACTCCTGGCTGGATGTGGTGTCAAAGGGATATAAAGCGTGCGCAAATGTCAATTTGGAAGGATCCAATCTTCCATCGGGGGTCAAGCCGGGCTGGACTTGGGTGAGGGACAATGGTTGCTGTTCAGCACCGGGAAGAACGACTCGGCGTTCCGCTAGTCTTTTGATGATCTTGTGCATGAGGTATGGGATGCCAAAGATGGCGAGGAGGAAGACGATGATGGGCTTTTTGGAGGGTTTTTCGACTTTGCCGTTCGTTGGTAGCGGTGGAGCACCAGGGGGTTTGTTTACGAAATGTTGGAATTCGTCGCTGAGGGTGCTTCGTTGGATGAGACCCTCTCCTGTTAGAACTCCCTTGACCCATCGGATCAGCCCAAATACGCCTAGTACTTGACCAAGTACATCTCGTAGGGCCGCAAATTGGTCGATCACGCCGACCATGGCGAAGAAAGACGAGTGGGTCGCCATAAAGGTCGATTCGAGCATCTGCGCAAACCCGCCAAAGGTCTGAACGATGCTGTGTAGTAAAGCAAAAGTATGTTGTGTTGTGTTGGAGATTTGGGCGGTGAGAGTTTGTGAGGGATCTATGCCTGGCATTCCTGGCATCATGCCCATCCCAGGCATATAACCGGTACCGTACCCCATTCCCCCGTACCCTCCGTACATTGAGGATCCATAACCTCCGTACATAGAGCTTCCATATGACCCGTAACCTCCATATCCAGTTCCGTATGGCGAGTATGTACTACCGAAACGGTTGTATGGGGAGGAGTAGAGACTTGAATAAGCAGAATTGGCACCAAAGGCGCCCGCTGCAGCTGGTAGTGTACTTATAGAGGAGGAAGAAGGGTCAGCAAACGTCGCTGGACGCGCAGGGACTACTGGAGCTGAGCCAGCAGCATTTTCTACAGCGGTTGACGATGATGCTATCGACGCTGGAGGAGCCGGAGTTGCCATTGTCGATGTTTGTTCAGATCCAGAGACGACTCCAGCACGCTCCCAAGGTTTTGGAGGGGAAGGCATGATGGGTTAGGTGTGGACGGGTCCGGGTTGTGGAGAGCCGGCTAGGCGCAAGACCTGTGAAAAATCTTGGTGCGCTGCTCCCTCACCGTGCTTGAGCTAATTAGCCCATTGAAGCTTTATTCGGATTGATAACTTTACGTCTGATTTATAATAAAAGTCGAATATTTCATGATAAACCAGTGGGCATCCTCCTTACGAACGCATCCTATGATAATGGATAGGGCTGTATAACCAAGAGTATATGAAAATTACATTTCAGAGATGTAAATTTACGGAATTTTCTCTGCCAAAAGGGACTGCCGTCCTGATATGGTATGGCAAGCACTTTGTGGTGAACCGGCAATAGCAGTGCTCTCGCCACTTGTGATTCCCCATCGATTCACCCAACCTCATCCCCTAAACGCATACTCAAGAATACTATGTCTTATACAACTGCACAGTTCGAGCAAGCTGCTAAGATTGGTACGTCTTGATCGAGCATCTGGTAGAGGATCCGAACTGATGCTTGTCCGTTTCTTCTGTGTAATTTCATTCTCCTCATCAATGTACTGAATATTCCATGTACCTTATCCTCTAACCGCTCGTTCACTTCATTCACTTTTGATACCAATCACAGTTCAGGAGCTCCCCAAGGACGGACCAGTAAAACCAACTCAAACTCAACAGCTTAATGTATGAGCGCATATCCTTCTCTATCGATATCTGCTGATTGTTTGAGCGAATTTCCTAGTTCTATTCATTGTACAAGCAAGGTAGGCGGCTTGCACTTGGCAGAATGAAAGTCTCTAAACTTGGATCCTATATTCAAATTACGTCTACTTTTACAGGTAATATTGGTGACGTCAATACTCCTAGACCGACTGGAATGCTCGATTTCGCGGGGAAAGCAAAATGGTACGCACCATAGTTCTAGCCATCAGCTTGGTCTGACCTACGATAGGGACGCCTGGAACGCCCTTAAAGGGACTTCTAAGGAAGATGCTCAAACACAATACGTCAAAGCGTTGCTCGAGGTGTGTTGACTCGGGAAACTATTCCCATCTAAACTGAAACGAATATCTGTAGTTGCTCGAAAGTGCTGACGATGAAGATTCGAAGAACTCCGTAGCGAAAATCAAAGCTGCCTAACAATATCGAAACCTGTACATTTAAACCGTACGATTGATTTGAAAGAGATTGTCATTGGTTGTGACTAGAGTGTTTATCACAAAGAAATATTTGAATCGTCCGGATTGGATAACTGATATAGAAATTGATACCAAGAAACTT